GGTTCTATCCTAAGGTAAATGTCATCTACTTTTTTTGAACAAGTAGTGAAAAGCAACTCAGCTCTTTTTGCACAAAGTCCCAGTTTTGGCCATCTCTTGCTTTTCACTGGAGATGTCTGCCTCCCATGTTCAAAAATAACAGCTTAGTTTTTAGCATTTTGATTACCATAATTTCAGTATGATCTCTGAGTTGAGTTCTCTTCTTAACTCAAATATCCCATATGTTTATTTGTTACCCATATACTTACTTGCTTTTGTAGTGTCACACACCTACATTATTCAAGATTAATTTGTTCAATTAATAGTAATGTTGAGAGACAATGTCTGTCTTTTAAGGTGAAGACTTGTTAAAGATATCACAAAAATGAATCTTGCTCTACTTTGTGTCTGTAGGATGATTTCTTACTCTTGTCTTTTAATTGGTTTAATTCACATTAGGAGGAAATATTTACTGAAGGTAACCTTCCATCTCTTCCATTCAAGGACATCCTAGATGATGTAATGGAGACTTTGGAGAATATCACATGAGCATGAATGAGAATATCACAACCATATGTGGTTTCAAATCACATTTTAAATTAAGCTCTGTCTACTGGGTAATAGAATTTGGATGATACACAATCACTCTTAGCAGGTCCCTTATCAAAAAACTTTCCATTCATAGGCACCATGTTAGGTATTTATCATCTAAGGGATCTAAAAACTTGGTGGAAGTCTCTTTAAATACTCCTCTAATGATAATTACGAATAGAGTCAATGATGCATAATTCTTATTAGCATGAATAGAAAGCTAATGAGATTTTAATGTCTTGAGTACATACCATCTCTATTTGTGCAAAGATTTTCTGAGGGGCAAAATCGGGTCTGTTACTGATGGGAAGTCACAGAGTGTCTAAAGACTTCAGTTGACCTTTACAGTGTTGTAGTTCATGCTTGCAGGGAAATACTATTGGTCTTTATTATTCTTACTTTATAGACTGGTCAAAATGTAGAGAGATTAAGACTGCATGTATAAATGTGTACCACAGGATGCCTACCATGCTAAGATACTAACCATGCAGGTATCTCAGTTAAATAGGGATGTTCATCTCTGCCTGTTCTTTATGACAGAGGCCAAACTTGAAGGGATAAATACTTTTCTGTAGAATGCAGAATTGAGTACCTGCTCTCAGATGCTACAGTGATGGTAAACTTAACCAAAACTTGCTTAAAAGTTTCTGAGGTGCCTCCTTTGATGGCCGCGGTTCTTCTATTCTGTCACAGGCAGTAGTTACCTGAGCGTTGCTATTAAAATGCGTAACACAGGAAAGTTCTGAAAATGCTGATTTAACTTTGGGGTTTTATTTTTAGTATGCTGTGAAACCTATTAGATTAGATTTTTCAGGACCAAAAGAGAATTTAGAGATGGAGTGAGGAAAAACCCTGCACTCTGATGCCCAGCAGTTTCCAGATGGGCTGTTTCTGTGCTGAGCTTTATTCTAAATAGAGTGTGTAGGGCAGCAGTTGATATCAACACCAAGTAGTGGAATTGGAGCTCTCATGGTTGCAAGTGTTTTCTCTCTCTCTGTCTTCTCTCTCTTATCAATCTAGCTTTTGGGCCTGTGTGGATAATACGGGAAGAGAGAGTAAAACCAAACTTATAACTATTTACTGTCTTTGAGGATTCAGCTACCCAGGTGTTAGATATGCAGTGTAACCATTGATGTCCAGCCTAGACATCCACACTTATACATCAGTGGAAACAAATTTTTTAGGATACCAAACATACCGAGAAGTACCTTTTCCTTTTATTTGGCTGTAAAGGGAGCTTAGAGTGACAAGCTCAGAAGGAAGCATCTAAAGAGGGTAATTGCAGCTGGCTGCTATCTACGTTGTCCTGCAGAAAAATGGTCACGATGGCAATATCAGTGCAATATAGTCACAGTGGCTCTGAATGTCAGTGATACAGCTTGGAGAGCTCATCAATCACGTTACATTTGATTGTGTGCTTGCACGTGCCATGCTTGCTTTTCACCCTGGGATAATTTCTGTCAATATCCCATCATATACTTGGCAGCAACATAGTTGTTGAATTAAATCGTTTTGATCTAATCCTGTTTGATGTCCATTCAATCATTTTAATCTTGTTTGAAATCCATTACCAGTAGACTCTTGATACACAGTTTAACTTTGTTTTACATAAGGTGATTTTTTGTTATTTGCTTAAAGAGTAGTAGGTTGAATTTCACTGGTAAATATTAACTGACACTTGCCAATTTGAAACTAAATACAGTCTTTCTATAAACTTTGTACTTTTGCTAAACAGAAGGATGTATTTTATCTTCCCATTGAACTAATCACATAGGTAAGCATAGGTTTATTTGTATTTTTAATTGTTACTTTTATTATATTAAAAATTATATACCCTCTATCTTAGGTTAGTATTTAATATTAAAGTTATCACTACCCTAAAACAAAGTCTGATCTCTTTGAAATATCTGACTTTACTGTAGTTGTTTTTTTGGATCGCTTAAATGCAGTAAAAGCTTGGAATTTAATGTTAAAAGCACATTTCGAAACAATGTATTGCATTATAAGATAACAGCATTGATTTCTTTGCTGCTTTAATCCTGCTTGTTAATTACAGAGTGGTAAAATCATGAGCATGCTTGTAAGATTTTCTGTTAATCTTGCTATCTTTTGTATTTTGGTATAAAGTATATTGCTTCTTTAGCCTTTCAAAAGACTGTTAAAAAATCCAAAATGTTGGAGTTGTATACTGCTATCGGAAGTGTACAAGCTTTGCTCTTTGAACAACTGAGCACATCAAAAACCCTGTCAAAATTGGAATGTATTCAGATTTTAGAAGCACATAATCCTGTAAGTAATGAAGTTGTGAAAAGGAAAAATTCCTGTTAGGAGACAGCAACTATGACGGTATCTTATTTGACTTTGATTTAGCTGTTCTGGTTTGTAGCTCCTGGTGGTGCGACCTTTAATTTCTGTGATTCCATGTACTTTAATGCACTTGGTAAAAGAAATATAGAGAAGGAAAGTATTAGAGCCAGGAAAGATTGTGTATTATTATTTATTTTTACTATAGTAGCATCCAGAGATCTACAGTCAGAAAGAGCAGTATTTTGGTGACTAGTTAATATTAAAGTTTTATTGATTGCAAGGAAGACAATTGGGAAGTGATTATGAGAAATGACTGGGACAGTGTGTAAATTGCTGTGACTTGTTACACAATTGTTCACATTGTAGTGCTATCCATACAGTAAAATCCATGACCATAGGAAAAGCGTCAATCATGGAGTTTTTAATGTTTATGTCTACACAGCCTGCTACCTGGCTATCTCCCTCCAAGCACGCACATACAGTTTAAATAGTAGAAACTTTGGAAAGGCGTCTTCCTTTCACTGTATTTATTACATACTTGGTATATGCCAGTTTTCTAATCCTTTTTTAATACTTCAGTGCTCTGTATTCATAAGGTTAATATTTTTTTTTGGCATCTGCTATTTGCAACCATCCAAGTGAGACTTGGGAGAGCACTGGAGTAGAACAAATAAAATGGGTTTCTAAGAGCGAAACCTCTTTGCTAGAGGGCATCATTAGACAGCTATTGCTGTGAAAACTCCTGGTTAAATTTTAATGCTGTCATCTCTACAGAGTTTCTCTTAGAATGGCAGTTAGAATGCTGATATCCTTCCAGTTTTGTTTAAATTTGTATTTAATCTGTAGGAAATAGTGAAAGTTGTATGGACATGGAATACTAGAAATAATTTAATCTGGAATTATGGCCTTTTATGCAGCAACTGTAAGAGGGCTCTGCAGAGAGGTTGCTTTTAGATTCTCTGTCGTTGAACAGGTGAAAAAAAGGGATTGAAGGAGAGACAGAAGAGGGATCTAGAGTAGCTAGCACTGGAGTCTTTAGCCAATGTGCAAGAACTGAGTAGAGCACTATTCTGGGGAAATAAAAAAAAATTAGACATTGTTTAAAGTGCCCATTAGGCTTGGTATATGGGGACTGTGTCCTGGTGCTCAAACCTTTCTCTCTTGCTGTGTTTTATTTCTGCTCCTTTGTCACACTAGCTGGTGAATTTAAACACCTGTTACTTTAAAACATATGTCAGAATACACAGATTTTGCTAATGCTGACAAGATCAGTGATAGTTTTGTCAATCAGTGAAACAAACACATCCAGCTATATGTCAATTTGCTGCATCCCTTAGAGATAGCATGGTAACGTTTGATTTTGGTGTTAGGAGAGTGGATCTAAGCTCCAATGTCAAATCTTGCTGACCGGGCAGCAGATACTTACGCCATGCTCCGATGAATTTCTAGTCTCAGTAAGGCTGATGAGGTGGAGGAATAGATTAGAATTCAGCATGTTCTCCAAGCTACAGGTTAGGAATTAGGGCGCTGAGATATTAAGCAACTTGCTTGAGGTCAGACAACAGTGACACTGGAAAACTGGAATATGAAGTCTTCCCTCTGATGCATAGTTTGACTCTTTGACCAAAGAGAGATCTTTGCCATGAGAGATCCAGTCCACTTAAGAATTTGGGTTTTAACCCTTTGATTTTTAGAACATTGTATTTTAACTCCAATTCTATGACACTAAGTGTGAATTACTGTCTTTTAACCTCAAACTTCTTTGATACTAGTTGTCGATTCAGTATAACTAAACTAGTCAGTCTGAGTTTCTCAGGCTGTTTCAGTGGCTTTATGCAGCTTACAGATGAATTCTAATGGTGCCATTCTTTTGTTTGGATCTCGGTGATGCTGGTAGTGTACTTTCTAGATGTCCTCTACATTGGAAGGTTTCAGAGATCATCAACCTTTAACACAATGATAATTGACTCATATCTTTCGGCGTTGTTCTGATACTCATAGTGTGCAAGTCATGTTTACTGAAGCCATGCAATGAATTGGAAAGTGTAATGACTGCAAGTGGCTGGGTAGAATGAGAAATGAGTAAACTAATATCAGAAATTCTGATACCATCTTTTTTTTCGCTGCAAATGAAATTTGTTCTTTCAAGTTAAATTATGACTTCTTATCATTACATGTTTTCAACCTCTAGGAGATTGAAGAACTGGACAGAAAGCTGGAGTATGAGATGTTGCATAAAGAGTCAGCTCAGCAGCAGCAGCAGCATCTAATGAGTAGGCAGAGGTGGACTCCAGATGGTTTGGGACTTTCAAGTGAAGCTGCAGAAACAAATGCAGACAGACAGGTGACCGTTCTGCTAACACAGGCCATGAGTAAATGTAGGCAATTTATAAATCTGCACCAGCAAAGGTAAGTGCTTTGGTCACAGGTTTTACTAAGTTACTGCCATCCTTGTAGACCATAAGATATCACAGAGACACAGCAGGTTAAATGTTGGGGAGGGACTATACATCTATGTTTGAACAGTGCATTTTTGTGATGTGGCCCAGAGTATTACTGAGGAGTCTTGGGAATACTGAAATAAGGAACATGAAATAATAATAACTTAGTTACATATAGATTGTGATGCATTGCACGACATTCACCATTTCTTGACGCAGACAGTGGAAAAAGAACAATGCTTCTTAGCAGCAAGAAGGAAAAGAACTTTAATACTGTGCCTTCATCTCCTGAGAAGATAAGTAGGAACTTCAATGAAACCTGATCTGCTGGTGTTAGAGGAAGTAGCTGAGACAATTTAAATTGAATTTCCATCTCCACTGTCACACTGTAGACTGAATTCCCTGTCATGCAATCATTTTTGATGGCATTTGTAAATGCTTTTTCAGAGACAGGCTCAGTTTCACTTTTCCCTGGCCAGTTTCTAAGTAAAGATATCGGTGGAAAAAAAAAAAGAGCCTCTTGGGAGGTATATAGAAATATCTGTCTTGTCGTGAAGGTTGCCCAGCAAAAACAGGTGATAACTTGCAACATTGCAAAGTATTGTATTACATTCATTAGGGTTACAGGAGTCAGAAATTACATTTCCGTGTGTATTGCACAGTATTAAAAGCTTACCACATTTCAAGGTTCGTGTAAGATTCCAAGAGTGTTCTTTCCATTACAAAGAGGGTTTTCCATGAAACAAGTGATATATTAAAAATGGCTTTGATAGGCTTTGAGTGGAGTTATTGCCCTCCTAAGTCTGTTTTAATTCTGAAAGGGCTGGAGCTCTTCTCGATGTAGATTAGCAACTCTCCTGTTGCAGAACTAAAGAGTCATTAGAAGATCACATAGGTTACTGGCTTGTGGGTGCTACTGTAGAGATATGTCAGTGAAGCTTCAGAAAAACTGCAACTAGTCTTTACTATTTACGTGATAAAGTAATGGAAGAAAAATTTTTGTACTTTCTGAAATGACATAAGGATGGCTTCATGATTTGGTCCAGAAACAAAAAAATCACCAGTAGTGAGGAAGTTAACTGTTTACTGTTGCATTCCAGCAACAAAAAGATCCACAACTTGCTATGGAGTGTGTTAATGAAATTTAAAAAGGAGGATGGGGACAAGTTGAATCATGTTGCTTTGGAGCAATTTCGTACTTGAATTGTGTGCAAGAGCATAGCCTTAGATTCTGCTCTGATGTTTGCTTGGTGGTTCGGGGAAGAAAGGACAAGAATCGTAGAATCATAGAATGGTAAGGGTTGGAAGGGACCTTAAAGATCATCTGGTTCCAACCCCCCTGCCACGAGCAGGGACATCTTCCACTAGACCAGGTTATTCAGAGTTCCATCCAGCCTGGCCTTCAACACTTCCAGGGAAGGGGCAGCCACAGCTTCTCTGGGAAACCTGTTCCAGTGTTTCACCACCCTCATGGTGAAGAATTTCTTCCTAATATCTAATCTAAATCTGCCCTCTTAGAGCTATTCCCCCTTGTCCTATCACTACACACCCTTGTGAAAAGCCCCTCTCCATCCTTCCTGTAGCCGCCCTTCAGGTACTGGAAGGCTGCTCTAAGGTCACCCCGGAGCCTTCTCTTCTCCAGGCTGAACAGCCCCAAGTCCCTCAGCCTGTCCTCATAGGAGAGGTACTCCAGCCCTCGGATCATCTTCGTGGCTCTCCTCTGGACCCGCTCCAACACATCCATGTCCTTCTTACGCTGGGGGCTCCAGAGCTGGACGCAGTACTCCAGGTGGGGTCTCACGAGTAAAGGGGCAGAATGCCCTCCCTCGACCTGCTGGCCACGCTTCTCTTGATGCAGCCCAGGATACGGTTGGCTTATATCAGAAGTTATGCCGCTCACACAGTTTGGCTGACAGAAAGATATGCTTCCTGATTGGATGACTTTCAGATACTGTTTCCTATAATACAGTCATTGCGCCTGGGAAGATTTCAATGTTAATTCTGTCTTTCACTTCAGATTGAGAGATGAGCAATGGAATTGCGCGGTGCTTGAAGATCTCCTGGAAAAGATAGAAATGGATGCATTTTTGGCACTTTACAGTCAGGTAAGCATGAAATTGAACAAAGCTTCCAAGTTTAAATTACAGCTGTATCTGGAGATCAGCTTTTTTTGCTTTTTTGGGAGCCATTACGCATGTATTTGGACCCAGTTCTGCTAAGAGTCACTACCAGTTCTGGTGTTTGCAGCCAGTATTATCGTTCACTTCCATTAGTTCTGACCTACTTTCAGCCTTTTGAATTTCACTGCGTTATACTTCCTTTTCTTCACTTACAAATCCTTTCCAGGGGCTGTCCTGTGGCATTTCATTCTGCGAGGAGAACTGAATTGCCTGAGTTTCTGATTTACAGACAGATTTACAGTCAGATTTTCATGTAATGAGGCAAGGGTTTTGTTTAGTCATTAATCAGCGTTAGAAAGGCTTTGCATTGATGATGTTACGAAACTAAATGATAGAATGAGTGCTAGTTAAATTTTCTAGTATCATTACTCATTGTTTTCAAAATGAGCATCACCTCTTTAGGTAATTTGCTATCTGTTGGCTGCCTGCCGGTGCACAAAAGTCATTAAAAATTAATTGCTCTTGTCCCCAAATGTTGTCTGCATGCCTTGATTGAGATATGTAGCTCGTATCAGAGAAGAGATTTGGTGTTGCAGCTTTTCAGATCCAAGTATCTTGCCTCTCAGGCACAGGTGTGGACACAGTCACCAGTATCATAAATTGGGAGCCTCAGAGGCCAGCGAGCCAAGGAGGGATCACTTAGGCTAAGGGTCTCAGCTTTTCCTGTGTCTCAGCTTGTTTCTGCTCACTTTTCTGAACTCTTTATCCTCTCTTGAGTTAGATGTCTGTTTGAGGTCAGCTGCTCTCGTGAAGAGCTGTAGTCAGACTCCTGTATACTACACCTGTGCTAGGAGATTCACCTGGAAGGTAGCACATGTTTTGAGATCCTTACTCTGATTTGGGTAAGGAATTTGCATCAAGAACTCACAAAGCTTGCAGGAGTGTGGTAATCAGTCTCTGCCTCTTGTGGGGATGCTCGGGTGCCGTTCAGAGCAGAGTCCTTCCACGAGTCTTGCTGGAAGAGAGTTGCCGCTGAATATCTGGCAGCCTGATGACTAAACTGCTGTCCTGGAATGGAAGATCTCACTTTGTGCTAATGAATTAAATCAGGCAGAGTGGGAATTCAGGCCTCATCTTACACTTTCTAATAGCATCATATCCTCTGGGCATAATAATATGAACACCAAAAACCCTTTCCAGCATGTCTCGCAGAGTGTAACATTTGAAAGTGTGTGCTGAGGAAGTGGTCACCAGCATTACCAGTCTTCTAGGTTTAAGTCAAAGCTGTGTTCTCTCTTAGCTTGTTTTTTTTTTTTTTAACTAGTAATATTATTATTATTATTTTCCTCTTTGTGATTTTTTTCTTTGTTTTTTGGGGTTTCTGTGGAGGTTTTTCTTCTTGTTGCAACTGCTTTTTCTCAAACCATCTTGCCACCATGTTGACTTTGACAGTTTGATGTTTTATAAGTGGCTATGGCTGTCAGGAGCTGCTGAATTCTGTTCACTGTATTTCCTGCCCCCATGGTCTACTGCACAGAGAGCTCATAACATTTTGTTGGGACTGGAGAGTTGAGTGGAGAGGAACCTGGTGAAGTTCAACAAAGGCAAGTGCAGGGTCCTGCACCTGGGGAGAAACAATCCCATGCACCAGTACAGGCTTGGGGCAGACCTGCTGGAGAGCAGCTCTGTGGAGAGGGACCTGGGTGTGCTGGTGGATGACAGGTTAACCATGAGCCAGCAGTGTGCCCTGGCTGCCAAGAAGGCCAATGGGATCCTGGGGTGCATCAAGAGGAGTGTGGCCAGCAGGTCGAGGGAAGTTCTCCTTCCCCTCTAGTCAGCCCTAGTGAGGCCTCATCTGGAGTACTGTGTCCAGTTCTGGGCTCCCCAGTTCAAGAAAGGTGAGGAGCTACTGGAGAGAGTCCAGCGGAGGGCTACAAAGAAGATTAGGGGACTGGAGCATCTCCACTACGAGGAGAGGCTGAGGGAGCTGGGCTTGTTCAGCCTGAAGAAGAGAAGGCTGTGAGGGGATCTTCTAAATGCCTATAAATATCTGAAGGGTGGGTGTCAAGAGGATGGGGCCAAACTCTCTTCAGTGGTGCCCAGTGACAGGACAAGGGGCAACGGGCACAAACTGAAGCACAGGAAGTTCCATCTGAACATGAGGAAGAACTTCTTCCCTCTGAGGTGACGGAGCACTGGAACAGGCTGCCCAGGGAGGTTGTGGAGTCTCCTTCTCTGGAGATATTCAAAACCTGCCTGGACAAGGTCCTGTGCAGCCTGCTGTAGGTGACCCTGCTTTGGCAGGATGGTTGGACTTGGTGATCCACAGAGGTCCCTTCCAACCCCTATGATTCTGTGATTCACAGAAATAGCATCCTTCTGACACTGCTAAAGATTTCTGCTGCAGGCCTTTGTAGGGTGCTTATGACATAAGTATTGTCGTGATGATGAGTTTTAATCTGATTATTTCTTTATAACTTTAAATTTTATATGTGTTCATTTATGGTCCTTTAAAATAACTTGTATAACGCTGATGAGGCAGTCACTATTTTCAGTTATTCATTCAGTCATGGAACAGTGACATGGGCAGTGACAGCTATAACTCTTCTCAGAGGCAATATTAAATTTGAGGTTTTATTTGCCCATTTGTAGTTGCAGTTTGTCTAATAATTCAAGAATTTGGAACACTTTTCTAGGGACAGAAGATGATCTTTTCCCTGATCAGTGTTCCTTTTTTTCTTTTTGTGGTACAGGTAAGGAGTTAACAGGCTTGTGTGAATATTTTGCTGAATCGTGCAGTGCTTCAGATACATTTTTGAATATGATAAATACAAGATGAATCTTAGATGAAGTAAACTCTGTTCAGCATCTGTGGAAAACAAATACCAGAAGCGACAGAAAAATTGAAAGTGCTTTGAAAGGTGCTTTGAGCTTTACTGGTCTTTCCCTGTACTACCACGGTTTAAGTCATTAGTCTTGGTAGACAGTAGTTTTTTTTATACTCTTCCCCCACAGTTCATTATATATTTATCTGGCAAAGTATGCTCCATCCAGAAATGCCCGCCTGTATAGAGTCTTTAAGCAGCACAGACCAACTCCTCCAGATTAGCAGTACCACGATCATTTTCATAGTTTAATTTCAGTGCTTTTAAATCTGGTATAGCCTTGCAATCTTGGACAAATTGAAGGAATGGCTGGGACCTTGTGCTTTGTTTATTTAGCAGTTTCATGGGCTGGCAAAAACAGTCATCAGTAAGTGTGAACTGTTAAAAAGAGAGTGTGCATAGGGCATTGATCTCACACTGTGGTTCTTAGCTTGCCATACTCCTAGGCATAGAAGGGTGGGAAGGAGATGCATGTAGCAAGCCAGCTGCTTAGCAGAAGAGCTCTTACCTTGCAAAAGATCTTGTGAATTGTCTTTCTGCTGCTCTTGAGTTTGGTTGCCTCTGATAGAGCCTCAGCATCTACCTTTTTTGTGAAGGCATGAATTCCAGATGTGTAGCATGCTAAGAAGAATGCTGAAGCAGCTGTGTAGGACTTGTTGGAAGGGAAGAGAGACAAACCCAGTGGCTGAGTGCTGCTGCTGCTGGCTGTGAGTGGTTTTGAGGGGAGCTCTATCCCAAGAGACTATGGCTCTTAGCATTTCAGTTCAAAGACAGTGCTCACTTTCATTTGTAGGCGTTACTTGTATTCATTGTCATACTGCACAGGACTAACCAGGAATGCGCTGATTTTGCATGTTATTGTAGCTCATTTCTGTCTTAGAAAGTTCAGTAATACTGACGCTCCTTGTCCTGCATTCCCAAAGATCGTATCACTTGACTGGGAGGGAAGGTGGATATTGCTTTTCTACAGCATAAGTAGTAATGTTGCTGAAGTTGCTGACAATTTAATTGTCTTCCTGTGATAGTTGTTAGGTTTCTTTGGCACAGATACATTGTGAAAGAGGGGCTGAACAGCGTGGTATGCATTCTGCAAGTTGAGAGGTTAAAATCATTGTTTTGCAGATTACAGGTGCATGCAAGCAGAAGATGTCATAATTCTCACAGTACCCAGTCCTCTTAGCACCCTAGCAGGTGAACGATGGCCCTTGACAATTACAGGTTTTGACATCTTGAAGAGAGAGGTTTAGGAGCATCACTGTCACCTTACTGCACTTGAGAAACTAGACACACTGTTCAGTGTATACTTGAGGGACTGTGCTTTATGTTTTGTTCATAAGACTCCCTAAAGAAGTAATTAATTTGTGTAAATGTGCATTAGATATACCATTGGGGTTTTTGTATTTATGTTTATTCATATCAAGTATAGCCCAGAGATATTCTGGGACATACTTTATTGAAATTCCATAAAACCTGTATATATTTACCGTGCAGATATCCAAAACAAAATTTCTGTTCTCAGCAAGTATAATAGTATAACAACTCCAGCTATAATACCAAACCAGACTACTCTTAATTCAACTGTAAAGAAGTATGTGCTTAGTAGAATAGTAGTTTAGTAATTTATTAAGGCTCACAGTGTAACATGTTCCTACTTTTGGATGTGCTTATCCTGGGATCTTTTTCCCCCCCCTCTGTTTTTTCACAATTTATAGAACCCATTATATTGGCAAGTAGTAGGAAACTTGTTGCATTATTATTGTTGTACTATTGTAGCTCTGTATCTTACACACGTTATTTTCTGTGAAGAGGATTTTCCCCTTTAGACTAGCTTTCTGCAGCCCTCTGGAACACCAGAGAAGTTTTACTTTCCTACATTTTGTGTTTCAGCTTACATCCTTGTGGAGGCAGATGGGAGTCAGTAAGAGATCTGCTTGAATGATAGTGAGTTCGGGATCATAAGACTCTGGCTGAGAAGTTACTTTTAAATAAGCTCATGGCTATAGCCCTAGGTGCACTAGTTGCATCTTAGAGACAACAGCTGATGCAGGCAGACTGTCATGTGGAAACAGCACAGTGAGCCTTAAACACAGCATGGATTGAGTTCAAAGATTCTTGCATTAGTTGTTTAAATACACATTGCTCAGTCCAAATGCTTAAAAGTAATTCAGCTGTAGTTTCTGAACTACAACTCATTCCTGTTTTTATTTTGACCAAGTTCAGAGAATACAAATGAGGTTATTGGTGGAGCAAGCAGCATTTGTATCCATTAGATAAAAAAGTGAAAAAAAGTTTCACAAAAAAAGTGAATTTCTAATCTTTATGGTACCTTACCGTGCAATATACCTGAAGAATCAAACTCATCCCAGGCTGGAGGCCTTTTGGTCTGACTAGTGTGACCATTCGTGTGTTTGCATGCACGTTCACCTCTCCTTCCTGCTCTGCAAGTTGGCCTGGGTAGCTGTGGGCATCTAAAGTGCCGCTCGCTGCTGGTGCGTGTTCACACCTCAGCACTCGCTTTGCCACACGTACGCTGGATGCCCCTGGCTGGTGGGTGCCTGGCAGCTTTTGTTAGTGTTGGCAGCATTGTGGCATCTTGCAGGACTACTTAATCGTGTATTCTGCTCTGTTGGAAAAGCATCACGGTTTGCCTCTCCATCCAAATCATACCTGATGCAGAAAGGTAAGGGTCAGAGTTGAGAGAAGAACATTTTAAAGAGGAAGCTATTACAGAGGAAAGCAGTACTGAAGTCATGATGTTTTGATAATCTGTGTATAAATTACTGAGTTAAAGGTCCTGAGACCATTTAGACAAAATGGGCAGAATAGGTCACAGACATGTGTCATTTTTTGTTCTCACTTAATGTTGGGTTTTTTTAAGTTTCTGAAAGAACAGTTTTTAAAGACAACACAGTCTGTATACAACTATAGAAATTAAACCTAGGTGTCTGTATTAAGTTCTTATTTACATTCCTCTCCAGACAGGAATCAAATCATTTCTTGCCCTAAGTAGCCTGAACAGACTTCTCTTTTACCTAACGTTGGTGCCTGTTTAGGGTGAAAATGTTGGATGTTTTAAATACCTCCAGCAATGTACTAATCCCTCATCAGTCTTAGAGTTTTGTCTTGTTCATTCTAGTATCTCAGTGGTTTCCATGGACAACCTACAACAACACTGAAGATCCCAGGAAACTTTGGGCAGTGGCTAGTTTTCCTGCCTTTTGGAGAGGAGTTCTCTGCTTGGAGAGTGGTTATGGGAAAAGGAGGTTGATTGATTTCTTTATTTTGTGTGGCTGCCTGAATTTAGCTTAGGGCTGCTTTGGGGGTGATTGCTTTGTTTGTTTTTACATAGATTTAGCAGAAAGGATTGTCCTTTACAGAACATCCTTTTGATGAAACGGCTTCTTTCGAAGAAGAAGGTTCACTTAATACAGGGATCTCCTGGATGCATTCGCTTCTCTGAAGATTCATCATGCAAAAAAGAGGCAGAGTTCAAACATTTGCTGTGACATTTTGAATCCAAAAGACTGTGGGCTTCTTTGTGGACAAAGAAATTGGTTGCCTTCCTTTATGGTGGAACCTTGAGGGTTTTTATGTGACGTGGGCTTTGTAGTCGTCTCCCCTATCAATGCTTGTAGAGCGGAGGAGACTCAGCTGTCATGATTCATCTCCAGTGTCTGGCATATTTTACCTAACTTCAGCTGCCTGAGATACATGTACAGTTTGGATAGACTAGAACAGCATTTTTCTGGCATTCTTTGAGTCATTGAACTTGCTTTAATTTGCTCTACTCTTTTCTTTCCATGTAGTTCTCAATATATTGTAGATTTCTCATATTTGATACGCATGAGAAATCCACACAAACAGCCCTGGGAACACGGTAGTTTTGACAGGAGAGCAGAAAATAACAACGGGGTTTTGGTGTTTGAAGGGGGGCAGGAAATGGGGCTGGTTAATTGTCCAGGGAATAACTAAATTTGAATTTAGTCTATTTGAACACTATGTGAGTATGCTTTACCACTGACCTTTGGGCCAAAAAAGAGAGGACATCTGGGAAAAAAAAAAACCCTCCAAAACAAAAACAGATATTTCCTTATTTCCTTCACCTCTTAACGAATGTTACAAGCTGTTCTCTGAGTTCATCACATAATCTGGTGTTAAGAGAGGCTGAACGATGAAGTGCTCAACCATGGCAACATGTAAATATTGTCATTAGGTTTCAGAGGCTACTTTTTTCCACCCTAATTTTACAGACTGAAGAATGCCATAACGCTTCATTGCTATCTTGAAAGAATTTCTTCATAATAGTATAATCCATAAATTAACTGAACTTTACATTCTAGAATATGGTTGCACTGTGATTTTTCAGACCGAAGGGCGTGGAGTACGTGCCCTAAGCACATACATGAAGATCAACTGGTTGTTTAACATTTACATTTCTTCTATCCAGAATGAAATGCACAGCTGTAATATATATGGACCAGTGTGGGTAGAAACAGTAAGCATGGGGCTATGACTACTTGACACCAAAACTGTCACCACTAACATGATTTTCAGTAATATTCCTATATTATTCTATAATAAATAATTCTTTAATGATAGTAATTGATATTTGTGATTTTTTAAAAAATTTATTTTCAGTGCTGAATTTATCTGTCTTCTACTCATTAATCCTCTAGGAGCTCCGACTTGTGGGTTATTTAGCCAAACTGATGAGGGTACCAATGGGGACGTTACACAGGATCCTGAACTTGTTGCTGCCCTCCAGCTCGCAAAGTGAGATTCTTTCTGTACTCAATTCCATTAGTAAATATTCCGATGGCATTGCTGAAAGTGACAGTAATGCAGATGAGTCTGGCAGCTGTAAGAAAAGGTAAGTGTGGTGTTTTTTGGTAGACCATTGCAAAAGATTATTGCTTTACATGTATATGTATTTGCTGGACAAGCAGATTGACAGCAATAGAAAAAATCACAGGTGCATAAGTTTCCTTTTGAAATATTTTTGTGGGGTAAAAATACTTGGAAACTGCTACCTTATTTTGTAAAATATTTTACCTATAATAAATTTATTGATAGAGAGTTAATATATTCTATAGCTTTATGAATTAAACGGTTATTGTATAGATGTATAAATCTTGTTCTGATCATTTTCTTTCTGTTCATTTTAATTGGGAGTTTATTAAAATATTTTCCTTCTAGCTTTTTGTATCTAAAATATTCATAGCACACCAGAATTCAGGTGTCTGTAGCTTCTAAAGATATAAAGGAGGTCGTCTTTTCTAATAATGGAAGTTTCAACCTTGCAGCTGCCTGTCCCTTTGTGGCTCATTGCTAAAGTCACAAGTGGCCACTGTTTTTCCCTTTACTCACAGAGACAGGTAGTCTCCCAGAACCCTCATCCCTCCAGTTAACACCAGCCGAACTGTACAGATGACACCATGAGGTGCTCCTGGACACCCTTTCCCAACTCCTTGCCATGACATGGGAAGGGATGAGAAGCAGATGTTGTGGCACTGGACCCTCTAGTTGTCAGATACGGGTTGACAAGGAACAGATAAGGGCCCTTGGGACCATGAAGAGGTGTGATCTTACCTGATTTAAATCAGGGCAGCAGAAATCCTTGAACGCTCTTACTGACTGTATTCAGGGTATTACTGCCATAGTTTTGATAGTTAAAATTGGAAAGGGGATGAAAGTGTGTGTATATGGGGATTTGCTGATGGGAGTTTTTTCTTTCCTGCTACTTCAGGAGGAACCAAGAGTTGTGGCAAGCACTGGAGAACAAAGTAAGGCAAGATCTGATAAACAGAAGTTTGAAAAAGATCCCTTCTCTAAACGAGAGAAAAGACAGGTAAAGAAAAAATAGGAAGAAACATATGAATTTTTTTTTCATATATTCGTTTAATCTCCAGAGGTTCCTCTTGTATCTATTAGAAATCAGGGAAAAGTTCATAAATATGCATTCTCTAACACTTCTGCTGTTTGGTGCTTGCGTTTCCTGCAACATATTTATACATAATAATCAGTAATAGTAAATGCCTAATAAGATTTTTCCGCACATATCCATAAAATTCACACATTTTTCATATACATTGCCCACCTTCCCCATGGCTATTTATTATAAAGTTACCTTTTCTTATGCAATTTTCTATCTCATTAAACGGTACATAACTTGCTGGGAATTGGAATGGAAGTTACACTTCTGTCTGTTGAAATACGGTTTTCTTTAGCTTCCTAAGTCACCACGTCTATGTCAAGATACAATATAGGAAGCTATGCTTTTTTGCTGAAGTTTTCATTTTTAAATTCATTTTTTTTTCATTGATGTAGCTTCATAAAGAAGAAGAAACTTGCCCTTCTGGAAAAAGCATCATTCATTCATCTTGGTTGTTTGCCTACGCGTCCTCCTATGGAACAGTCTGATCTGCCTGTTCCTTTGAACACCGCAAATGCCGAAGCAATAGAGCTATTGGACACAGGGGAGAAGGTGTTTTTGTTCCGTGAGCTGAGTGATCCAATACTTTCTTTGTGTAATTCTCCAAGGAAAAAGAAAAAGAACTTTCTTAATTCCAAAAAGGCTGCTCGCGCAAATATGGATGCATGAGGGCAACTTCCATTCAAACTATCAATTAGGGAAGAGGAAGTTATTTAAAATTCAGAAAAATAATGAGAAGGAATGAAGTATGCAGTTTAAATAACACTTGCATTGTTTTAATATCTCATTTGTCCGACAGTAAATAGCTGTAATTTTAGAATAGCGCAGTTAGCAATGTGTATTGTGCATTTTTTGTTTCTTGGCAGCGTATGATGCAGTAGATGAAATATGGGTGTTTTGTGATGCACATTGTGGCAGGCAGGGCTCAGTGTTCCATCGGTACATTTTGATCATTTTTGCACTGATTTTACTGTAGCTGTATTTTCATAATTTATGTAGAAAGGTTATTTATTGTATAAAGTACTGATCTACTATTCTTGTATTTCTACATTCTTGTAATAAGCTGTGGCATAGCAGATGACATGAAGAGATGAAGCGGATGACCCACAAGTCCTCTGTTCTCTGATTTTCTACTACTCTAGTTAATTTGCTGTTTAATACTGTGCTGTTAATAGGCTTTGAATGTTACTTCTGCAGTCGGTGTTCCACAGTGATAGCTGGTAGTCCAGATTTCAGCATATACTGATGTACTTAGCCTAACATACTGGAGTAAGTTTAGCTTCTCAATATTGTTTCTAAACTTGGTTCAGTAGACCTATGCATGTGGCTACAGTTCAAATTGTGTTTAATATTTGCAACCTGCTTCAGTCTTTTTCTTGACGAAGCAGTATTGTCACATGTGCTCATTAGAAAAGGGAAAAATGTGGATGCACATGTTAATAACTTCAAAAGCTTTTTTGATTACAATGCTGCAAAGTGTCACATTTTAGGTGGTTATTTTTCAAGTCCTTATTCCTGGATTTCTCTAAATTGACGAGAATATCATTCTACATTTCAGAAAGAGATAATTTTTGAACAGTTCTAGTTGGCAGAAAGAAGCCTGTAAATACCAACCCTAAAAGCAGTAATAGGAAAAGACAAATTAAAAGAAATGAATATATTTGATAAAATTTCATATTATTCAAGCCTGTTTTGAGAGTTTTTGAACTGTATTTGAATGCTGTGGTCTGAGGGTACCGTGATCATATATTTTGCAGTTTTTCATGTATGGAAGTTCTCTGTCTTTGTATTAATAGGATGCCAATTTTCATTTTAAAAATTAAAATGCTACAATGTACATGTGGCTCCAGCTGGCATCTATTCCAAGTCGAAGAAAACATATATTTTTTCCCACTTCTCTTGACAAATTTAAATATTCCACAGTAAACAACAATTAGCAATAGAAAATGTATGCAGCAATTAGACTGATAATCCTAATTATTTTTTTGATTGCGTTCTTCAGTCTAGATCTAGAAGTCGTCGCTCTCACAGAAGGAGGAATCTACCAGGGTTGTGGGAGCTCAGAGTCACGACATTTTCATGTGCCTGGTATATCGTCCCCAAGGCTTGGGTAGGTAAAGGCAGGGTCTGCCCTACCTCAGAGGTGGGTCGGGGCAGTATAGGAGGATACTCAGGTGTTTCGGAAAGGGGTTTGGCCCTATGCAAGAAAAGCCAATAGGAAAACCTGAGCTGTGCTCAGGTCTGCAAGGAACGCTTGAAAGCTGAAGTACCCTCTCTTGAATGTGAGTCTCTTCCAAGATCTCTTCGCAAGCCCGGACTCTAGGCTGTTACAACGCAAAAGGGAAATGACAGTACTGATCACAGGTAAGACATTGGGGCCAATAGCTTTAATCAGTTATAATAATACAATGCAACATCTGAATATTGATTGCAATACAAATTTATTATCCTTAGCAGATAAGCTGTATGTCTGATAATAGAAAGCTGATTTGTAACTTTTGCACACCACATCACAAAATTGAAGCAGCTCAGTGACTGTAACTGTTCTAGCGCAGAAAGTCATGCCCTCCTGTCAGTCAGTTTCGTTTCATGCAATACTTGTTCAAAGAAATGTCCAAATCTTAAAACCTCTTCTGCCTTATGAAAGAACTACTAACTAGGCAATAACCCACTTCAATGAAGAGATGACTTGCATTCAGCTTTGAGTTGTGCAGAGGACAAAGGAGGACCAGCCGTTGCGCGTGCAGTTCTGTGTGTGTACCGTAGGTATTAGCATCCATATTTCACAGTTGAAGTCTTCCAAGGAATGTGTGCTGGACAGGCCATTCAGATTAAGTCCTTTTGGCTTCATAGTCATCAGTAAAAGAAGTAATATAAGGCCAGATTCTTCAGGATTTTGAACATTATCCACATGGGGCAAATTGTTCTTCACTCTCATTAAATTAATATCAGAAAGGGACACCTTGCAGTCTAGCTGAACCTCCTGTTTTAAACAGATGTAGCCAAACTAAAAGGACAAAAGTAGCTGGTACTAGTACTAATAGCATGCTCGTTGTAGAATTAGAACTTCAAAGAAATGCCTCACTTGTTTTGCAGCTCTTCCTGTTGGTGTCTGCCTGGCTATGTAATACATTTTACTGAGATTGAAAGTACGAGAAATGAAGGACCCTCTAATTAACTCCACACTTAATTGTGTTCCCCTGGAAGTTCATTGCTTTTCATCTTGTCCCTGACCCCTGACGATGTACTCCCATCTCCATTGCGGCTGTTTTTTCCCCTCAACCTGAAGCTATCAACCAAGGAGCCAAAACATGCAGAGAATAGGCAAAAGTAACTGTCCTTGGGCAGGGATGCTTCAATCCACACAGTAAAAACTGATTTATTGGCAATGGTATAATTTATTGAAGAAGTTAATTCTTCACGTTGGACTGATAATCTGTGGCTTTTTGTTATCATTTCCTCAACATGCACTTAGGTGATGTTAGCCTGCGGTCTGCACCCCCGGCACAGCGCATCCCTGCTCGGGGCACTGCCCGCACGCAGCCTGGCTCCCGGTTCAGGGTTGTCAGCAGGCTCATTAGTTGTGCACAGACCCCTCAGCGTTATCGTTAGCCCAGCGGATAGTGAGATCGCTGGTGAAGAACCATGTGGTGTTCATCAAAGGAGAGGTGTGCGATGGGAGGGGATGAAATGCTAGTGCGGTGTAAAGACTCAAAGAAAATGATTTTAAGATACTTTGGTCCTATTAATATTAAATGGGCGCTTACTGGAATGTTTAAAATTGTCAAGGTCCTCAGTGTCCATAGATTTAAACAGAATCAGTATCCATGTGCTTCTAGGCCTGTGCAACTGTTTGCAGTGGGGTGAATAATTGTTCACCAGATTTTCTGCTGTGTCATATTATGATCCTGTTGTTCGTGTTCTATGCTGTAGTTTCCTCATGAAGACATTTACTGAAGTCTCATTAATTTGAGTAATGAAGATCTTTGCTTCACAGTGTCAGGGGTAATAGGGTGAAGCCTGCATAGTTCCCTTTAAAAAGGATAAGATTTTAGAAGATTGTTTGTTCTCCTTGCCATATTTCAGGCTTGACATATCAGAGATACAGATATTGGATTAGCATGCAAGACATGTTGCTCACTCAGATGTTTGGTTTAAGATCAAGTGTTTGTTTAAAAGATTTTTTTTTTTTAATTAAAAAAGATTCCAAATGGTGAAGAACATCTTAGGGAAGATGTATGCAAAATGTTGTTCTGCAGTGACTGAGCTGAAAAGGTTTCCATGAAACATGCAAGTAGAGATTTCCTACAACAAGCTTCCGTTTCATTTCTCTGTCCTCAGTATTATGTATGAATTTATTATGAAGTAAAATACACATACTAAACCTGATGAAGAATAATTAATACCAAGAATGAATGACTGGATATTCTTGTAGACACTTTTAACTGTGTGTCAACAAGTTGATCAATTGCAAAGAGAAGTGAAAATACATATATGGAGCTGACACTTCACTACAGAAAAAATGGAGAAATGGAAGTAAAAACACTGACATTTTTGTGGAATTCATTGTTGTGTTTAATAGACAACTTATTTCTAGAGTAGTTTTGTTTTCAGATTATTTTTTTAAAGTGACAATGTCTCTTTAATAAGGTCAATTCTGCAAAATACTTGCCTGCTTTATCTGAACCTAGGGAAATCATGCTGCTTGCTTTCATTATCTTGTATTTACCCAGCTGCTATTTTAACACCTTTATTTCTTCTGGGGAATGTTAAGTTTTTATGCTGTTATCTTAATACTTCCCGGTGCCAGTAATTACACTGTCTTTCATCAACAGCTCTCGTTTCCCCGAAGTTCAACAGCAGGATTTTCAGAGCACGAGATGCCAAGTCCACTCACTCAGCTGACCCAATTCCCCCTCTACCCTATGCTGAAATGTTTCGCTGCTGTGCTGGTGGAATGGGTGCAGACATCGGTGTACCAGCATGAAGCTCTTTTTCCTTACTGAATTACAAAAGCTATATTGTCACAGGCTGTGGAGTGCTGTATGAGAGTTCATACAAACACATGTGCCAGCCGAGCATTATCGTGCAAGGGATGAACATCATCCCCCTAGTAGAGTGCTGCAGGTAAGATCCACCTGCTGCTTCTCCATTCAAGTCCTGTTCTGCAAAGTGGCTGGCAAAGGCCACCAGCTCAGGTCTTTTGCTATCTTTCCATTCATTTTCTTGTCATTCACAGGAAGCAAAGCAAGTAAAGTCAGGCTAAAGCCTTGTGAAAGACTGTACAGTGTGCTCACCGCTTGCCTTTGTGTTGCAGGCAAGCTGTGACATAAATGGTCCATTTGATGAGAACTGGTAGTGCCCATCTCTCTATTTGAGCAGTTTGAGCTTGTTGGTATTTGTAACCACTGGTTGTTTTTCCCATCTCAGCTGTATCAAGAAGCTTGAGAGCCATGTTGACTGAAAGCAATTTGTTTTCCCCAAGGTTCAGACACTCCTGTGGAGAACAGGAGACACACATTTGGTTAGATATGCAGGACAGTGATTATGTTTTGGAAAAGTCAGCTTCCTTGGATCATCTTCAGTTAGAGCAGAGAAGCTACCTGCAGAAAAGAGGCTGGGTATTTTCAACCACTTTTGTTTGAAGGAAGATAGCTGAATAAGTAAAT